GGCATTTCACAAATAACCACCAAAGAGAGGCTGCATTTCACGAATAGCCACCTGCAGTGTGAATAACCACTTTCACACCCTTTCAATCCAGAATTCGTTGGTTATAAATAGGCAGTCATTCTTTCAGAATTTTTCATCTTGAAATCTTCTGCTTCATCTCCTTCTTCTTTCTGCATCATTACTTTCAAAACAAAGTAAGTCAAGGTCGTGTGATTTTTACCATTATTTTGAGTTCGCTGATAACTTAGTGGTTTGAAGTGCCCTACCGCTAAGTTGGGAGTTCCGTTCTATCCTGGGAAGAATTTATCCGTTTACCTTGGGCAACAGTGAGGGGATAAGATTCTTTAAGGACACACAAGTAATTTGTGGGCTCGGAACATAATTCTGCCATTTCTGTTCATTTACTTTTCCTGTTTTTTAGTCACTTAAAAATTTCTGATTGTCTAACAAGCTTAAAGAGTCTTATATATATATATCTGTACTGTTCTGATTTTCGAAGTGACTAAGGAGACTAAAACCTTCGTGGTTTTCTACTCCTAATCAGTTTGAAGAATAATCTCTTCACTGTGTTGTTTTGGGTTGAAGGAATAAATACTTCACCATTTACTGAATCTGTTTGTGTCATATTGACAGAAATGACTAACGGAGAGGAACAAATTGAACCTGCTGTGACTGTTACTGCTAACACAGTTTCGAGGATGCCAGGTCCTAGCCGTCCTACTGCACCTGCAACGGCGATGCCACCAGTGGAAAAGCCGGGGAAATTTTCTGGTGTTGACTTTAAAAGATGGCAGCAAAAGTTGTTCTTTTATCTAACCACTCTAAGTCTGCAAAGGTTCATTCAAGAGGATGTTCCAGTCGTGCCTGAAGGAACCCCTGACAACGAGCGCTTCCTTGTTACTGAGGCTTGGAAGCACTCTGATTTTCTGTGCAAAAATTACATTTTAAGTGGGCTGGAAGATGGCTTGTACAACGTTTATAGCGTCATGAAAACATCAAGAGAATTATGGAATGCTCTTGAAAAGAAGTACAAGACTGAAGATGCTGGACTTAAGAAGTTTGTGGCCGCCAAATTTCCGGATTTCAAAATGATTGACGGTAAATCTGTCATAACGCAAGTCCAAGAATTGCAAGTTATTGTTCATGACCTCCTTGCTGAAGGTATAAAACGAGTCAATATTTTTATTCAAAATATTAATTATTGTACTAATTATAAATTTATGATTGAAGGTATGGTCATAAATGAAGCGTTTCAAGTTGCGGCATTTATTGAAAAGCTGCCTCCGCTGTGGAAGGACTTTAAGAATTACTTGAAACATAAGCGCAAGGAGATGACGCTTGAAGACCTTATTGTTCATCTACGGATTGAAGAGGACAACAAGGCAGCTGAGAAGAAATCTCGTGGAAATTCAACAATAATGGGTGCAAATATTGTTGAGGAAGCTTCAACGAGTAAAAAGAGAAAGAAGCCGTCTGGATCAACGAATTATCCAAGCAAGAAGATGTTCAAATGTAATTACCACAACTGTGGAAAGGTTGGACACAAGGCTACTGAATGTCGTGCACCAAAGAAGGACAAGAAGAAAAGACAAGCAAACATGATTGAGAAGAATGATGAAATAGACGACCTATGTGCCATGTTTTCAGAATGCAACCTAGTCGAAAATCCTAGAGAAAGGTGGATTGATTAAGGAGCAACTCGACATGTTTGTGCTAACAAGGAGTTGTTTACTTCTTATGCTCCCGTTGGACCCGATGAAACAGTGTTTATGGCAAACTCCGCTTCTGCAAAAATTGAAGGAACGGGCAAGGTGGCTGTGAAGATGACTTCGGGAAAGATTGTGACCCTAAAAGATGTTCTTCATGTTCCTGAAATGCGGAAGAATTTAGTCTCAACATCACTTCTAGTCAAGAATGGCTTTAAGTGTGTTTTTGTTTCCGACAAGGTTGTAATTAGTAAGAATGAAATGTATGTAGGAAAAAGTTACCTGACTGAGGGCCTTTTTGTGACGACCCGACACGTCGTCACGTGAGTTACCGCTCCGTTTTCCCCATTTTCTGCTTCTTTATGCTTTATTATAAGTGTCTTGTGTGAACGAGTTGATTTGGATTGATTTTAGAAGGAAATGAGACACTTAGTCTCTTTAAGGAAGCCTTGTTTTGGAAAAGTCAACCGGATGTTGACTTATGAGTTAGAGGGCTCGGATATGGATTCCGATGATTCAGTTAGCTTCGGGGGATGATTTGTGACTTAGGAGTGTGATCGGAAGTGATTTTGGAGGTCCGGTGTAGAATTAGGCTTGAATTGGGCAAGTTAGTATTTTGGCGATTTCCGGTTGATATGTGAGATTTTGATCCGAGGGTCGGAATGGAATTTCGAGAGTTGCTGTAGCTTCGTTAGGTGATTTGGGATGTGTGTGTAAAATTTCAGGTCATTCGGAGGTGTTTTGGTTGGGTTTTTGATCAAATGCGTGTTTCGGAAGTTTTAGAAGAACTTAGGCTTGAATCCGATGTGAATTGATGGTTTTGGTGTTGTTTGAGGATTGGAACAAGTTTGGGTGATGTTTTAGGATGTGTTGGTGCTTTTGGTTGAGGTCCCGGGGGCCTCGGGTGAGTTTCGGATGGTCAAACGGACCAACTTTGGCACTTGGGAGTTGCATGTTTTTCAGTTCAGTGCTGCAGAGATTTAACCCTTCCCGTTCCCGTAGGGTGAGTCGCGAACGCGTAGAAGGAATTTGAGGTCCAGGGTTTAGGCCTTCGCGTTCGCGTTTGAGGCCTCGCGATCGCGGAAGGTTAGGAGTTATTGCATCGCGTTCGCATGAGGAGCTACGCGTTCGCGTATAAGGATTGGGGTCCAGTGGTGAGTTGTTCTTCGCGTTCGCGGTTGAGTGACGCGTTCGCGTAGGTTTAGGGACCCAGGGATTCGCGTTCGCGTATTGGACACCACGTTCGCGAAGGGTAAATTGGCCAGTGGAAAAGTTTGTTCATCGCGAACGCGAGTGGGCCCTCACGTTCGCATAGAGTTAAATGTCAGCTGACAGAAGGGTTTTATTAAATATTTCACCCGCGAACCAAGTCTTATTTCCACCATTTTTTAGCAACCTTGAGAGCTTTTGGACGGGAATTTAAGAGGATTTCGATGGGGATTGATTGGAGGTAAGTCCTATGATCTAAAAACACGTTTTTATTGTGAATTTAGACTGAAAAACCAAGGAAATAAGGAGTTAGAATGGAGGTTAGGGCTTGAAACTTAAGAGTATTAAAATGGGGATTTGAGGGGTCATTTGGACTCTGATTTTGGTAATCTTTATATGTATAGACTCGCGGCGAGATAAGAAATCCGTTGGTGTTAAATTTTCTGATTTTCGAGAAGTGGGCCCGGGGCTCGGATTTTGCTAATTTCGAGATTTCAGCTATTTTTCGATTGTTTTCGCTTGCGTATTGTTCCATTGGCATATTGTGACGTATTCGTTGTGGTTTTTATCAGATTCGGCACACGAGGAGGTCGATTCGAGAGGCAAGGGCATAGCGAACTAGGATTTTGGCTGGCTTGAGGTTAGTAATAGATGTAAATGCTGTTCTGAGGGTTTGAAACCCCATGTTTGCACATCGTAGTGCTATATTGAGGTGACTTGCACGCCGGGTAGGGAGCGTGGGGTAGAGCACCGTTGGGAATTGTGACTTGGTCCGTCCCGGTAGATGAACATACTGCGTATTTGACTGAAATTTACTTATTATTATTTTAATTGAGCTGCTTGCTATATTTGGGCTTCGTGCCAATCGATTAAATCCTTCAGGGATTGTTATTACCGGTTTCTTACCATTTCTACATATCATTGAACTCAGTCCTAGAATTTAATACTATTTTGCAAACTCAGCCATTTTTCTCAAACTAGAAACTTAATTAATATTTTTAAATGAAGTTTGGGCTAAATATTTCTATATTAATGTGCCGGAGAGGCTTATGTGATTTTGGACTGAGTATGGGATCGGGCTGCGCGCCGCAGCGGTATGATATTGATATTGATATGAGGCTGAGGGCCTAGTTGATGCCACGATATGGCTTATTATTGCGCTTGGGCCGTAAGGGGCCCCTCCAGGAGTCTGCACACCCCCAGTCAGCGTCGTCGATGATAAATAAATGGAGCGGGCTGCACGCCGCAGCGGGTATTGGAGAGTACCGGTCTATGTGTTGCATTGCATATTTTGATTGTCATTTACTTATTTATCTGTTTGTGATATTTCTATAATTGTTTTCACTGATTTATTGATTTTATGCTACTGGGTTCAAGTTGCTGTATTTATAGAATTACTTTGTGCCTATTCAGGATTTCTTATTCTCAGCCTTTAATTATGTTTATTACTCACTGGGTCGGAGTACTCACATTACTCCCTGCACCTTGCGTGCAGATCCAGGTACTACTGAGGCTGAGTGAGGACTTCTCTTCCTAGCATCATATTTGGGAGTTTCAAGGTAGCTGCTTTTGACGTTCGCAGTCCTGATCTTCCCTTCTATCTTATTGCTTCATTTCCGCATTTCTAGAGAACGATATGTAGTAGGTTGATACTCATGTATTAGAGGCTCAGACTTGTGACACCGGATTTTTCGGGCTGTGTAGTTATTTTATATTTTGAGATTTTCGCATGTTTAACTCTATTCCCGGATTTTAGTATTTTGACTTAGTAATTATCTGTGTTAATTAATTCATGAACTGGATAAAATGGTTAAGGTTATTTGATTGGTCAGGCTTGCCTAGCAGTGTGTTAGGCGCCATCACGACCGGGGTTGGGGTCGTGACAAGTTGGTATCAGAGCCTAGGTTACTTGGTCTCGCGAGTCATGAGCCGGTTGGTAGAGTCTCGTGGATCGGTACAGAGACGTCTGTACTTATCCTCGGGAGGTTGCAGAACCTTTAGGAAAACTTCACATTCTTGAAATTCTTGTCGTGCGGCTTTGTTGAACTGACAACTAAACTTCTATTATTCTATTCTCTCACAGATGGTGAGGACACGAGCTACCGGACGTGGCGGATGACCACCAGTACCACCCACTGAGTCCATCGGAGGCCGTGGACATGGTCGTAGTCGTGGCAGAGGCAGAGCAGCCGGGGCAGTGCTTGCCGATCCACCAGTTGCCCCAGCTCAGGATCAGGCTCCAGCTGTGGACACTCCAGCAGCACCTGTTCAGGCACCAGCTGTGCCTATCGTGATTCCGGGTCTTCAGGAGGCCTTGGCACAGATCCTATCAGTTTGTACCGGCTTGGCTCAGGCAGTTTCAGCCACCACAGCAGCAGCAACAGCTACTTCACAGGCTGGGGGAGGCAATCAGACCCCCGCTGCTCGCACACCTGAGCAGGTGGTGCAGGGACTAAAGACACCAGAGGAACCTCCAACTCAGCAGGTTGCACCAGCTCAGGGCTTCATGGTTCCAGCTATGCCAGACGATGAGCAGCGTCGTCTTGAGAGGTTTGATAGGATCCAGCCTCCGACATTCGGTGGTGGTGAGGGCGAGGATGCCTAGGGTTTTCTTGACAGGTGTCAGCGTATGCTCCGTACGGCGGGGATTCTTGAGTCAAGTGGTGTGGCATTTACCACCTTTTAGTTTACCGGGGCTTCTCTTACTTGGTGGGAGGACTTTGAGAGGCGTAGGCCTGTCGGTGCAGCACCCCTTTCTTGGCAGCAGTTCTCCGCTCTCTTTCTGGAGAAGTATGTACCTCAGTCCCGCAGGGAGGAGCTGCGTAGGCAGTTTGAGTGGTTGACACAGGGGGATATGACAGTGACTCAGTACGAGATGAGGTTTTCACAGTTGGCCCGTCATGCTACTTGGATGGTTCCGTCAGATCGTGAGAGGAT